ATGTGTACATGTATGTGTGTAGGAGAGAGAAGCGTGTAGAAGTCAGAGGACAGTTTGTAGATGCAGGTTCTCCTTCTATCACGTGGGTCCTGGGATTGAGCTCAGGCTATCAGGTTGGGCAACAGGCATCTTTACCCACTGAGCTATCTTTCTGGCCTTAGTTCAGGAATTCTGAAATGTCTCTAAAGTCAGAAAAACAAGATGAAACTGAGGGTGGAAACACACAAGAAAGCAAACCACTGTCAAAGCTAGAAGATATTATAATAAAGATACTTGTTCTGTCAAACCGATCATCCTATACTCTGACCTTAACCCACAGGAATAAGGGTCCGGAATGGCAAGGTGTCAAGTGGGAGGATGGGGGTGAGAAATGAAGGAGACAAAAGCAAGGACATCATCGTATATACTAGTTGTGGGGGGATGGAGGGTGGAAGAAGGTCGGCAGAGAACTAAGTCAGACAGTGTTGACAAAGAGAACACGGGCTGCCACAGACACAGCTGCCCAGGACTAATAATTACAACCCTTCAGGGGAGAAAGCCAGGTTCCCAGGAGCTGAAACCTTAACTCTTTTGAAATGCAGGGACCATCCCAAGGACAGCCCTTGGCAAAGATGCAGAGCGGAGGTTCCCTTTGTCCTCTTATCAGGGCCCCTGAGAAAGTCTAAGGCCAGGCTGACTCCCAACCACACTTGTGTATCTGCCCAGAATTCCCTCCTTTGGATAAAACACCCTTTGAGTTCAGGAAGAACAACCACCAGAAAACAAAACACACAAATGTGGGCTTGTGATAAGTAACTCATTTCCTGTTTGAGTTGCTCATTAGAGGCCCAGCAAAGCCAACATGTTCTTGAGGTTCCCAGCTTCAGAACCGTGACAGAAATAAATGCCTTGTTTTGTTTTATGTGGGACAGGATCTCACTCTGTAGCCTAGACTGTCCTAGAACACACTATATAGTCAAAGATGCCCTGGAACTCCTGGCAATCCACCTGCCTCAGCCTCTCGAGTTCTGGGATTACAGGGACTCCTCACATCATCTCCAGTGACAACTGCTCTTTCCAAGTTGATCCCAGCCTTCCTGGAGGGTTTGGAAGAACAGGGTGGCTGCCGCAGCACATGCCTGTCACATTAGAGCCTGGTAGTCTCTCCGAGTTTAACTGTCATTCACGTTCTGTGACCTCTTTCTCTTTCTGCCATGATGCACTCCCACCTCAGAGAGAACCATCAGGTGCGTGGCCGGCGGTGATGGTCGGGTGCGTGGCCGGCTGTGGTGGTCGGGTGTGTGGCTGGCTGTGGTGGTCAGGTGCGTTCCCGGCGGTGATGGTCAGGTGCGTGCCCGGCTGTGGTGGTCGGGTGCGTGCCCGGCTGTGGTGGTCGGGTGCGTGGCCGGCTGTGGTGGTCGGGTGCGTGGCCGGCTGTGGTGGTCGGGTGCGTGGCCGGCTGTGGTGGTCGGGTGCGTGATCGACTGTGACGGTCAGGTGTGTGGCAGGCTGGTTGTGACGGCGTGAAAGAAGAAGCCCCCTTGGGTTCACTGGGAGTGCACTATTAGGAGGTGTGGCCTTGTTGGAGGAAGTGTGTCACTGGGGATGGGCTTTGAGGCTTCAGAAGTTCAAGCCAGCCCCAGTGCTGTTTTCTCTCGCTGCTGCCTGCCGATCCAGATGTAGAACCCTAGCTCCCTCTCCAGCACCACGTCTGCCTGTGTGCCACCATGCTTCCCACCATGACAATAGACGAAAACTCTGTACTGTAAGCAAGCCCCAGATGTGTGCTTTTCTCTGTGTGAGTTGTGGTGGTCATTGTGTCTCTTCACAGCAATAAAACCCTAATAAGACACCAGTAATAAACGAGACAAAAATGTAAGTATATATCCTAAAAAGTATCTGTGGGTTACTAATGAAATGTCTAATTTTAGTTTTTAACAATATCCTGGATTTTTAAAAATAATCCTCTAAAGAAGACAGGTCCAGGTAATTAATTACCATTTTTAATTAAAATTTTATTTTGGGGGCAGTTCACACACATACCACAGCAAGCATATGGAAGTCAGAGAAGAACTCGTAGGAGGAGTCAGTTCTCCCTTTCCACCCTTTAGGTCCTGGGGCTCAAACTCAAGGTGCCAAGCTTGCCAGGAAGTGTTTCTCTTCTGAGTTCTTGTCAGCTTCCAGGTCAGTCCCTGGAGGGGATGTCCCGGAATTCTAGAAGCGGCAAACTTGTAATGATAGTCCAGGCATTCTTAGTGCCTTAAGGTAAGTTATCCTTTCTGGAAATGTGACCAAAGCTTTGGGTCTTTTCCCTGGGTGGGGAAAAAATGTTTTGGTAGCTTCTGGAGTGCCTCAGAGTTCTGAGTCTCTGCCCAGACACCAACCAAACAATGCTGACCTAATCCAGCACCTACTAAGAGGCCATGGGATCGAGGAGGACCCCTGTGTGACTCACCTACAGTCACACAGCTCGTGAGGGATAGAGGCAAGACGGAACCCATGCTCTCTCATACTGTGCCCTTTTACCTGCCGTGTTAGACCATGTGGGTAATGACAGTGGGGCCATCAGAAGGTATCTGTAGATGCCATTAAATGCCGTGCTGGACTGCGCCTATGACCTGACCAAAGACCTGTTGTAAGCGTCAGGGATTGCAGATAGCGTGTAAAGCCTTTGCTCTGTGTTTGTGTTCTGCCCCATCCTCCTGGCCTTTCCCTGAATAAACCAATCTCTCTCTCTCTCTCTCTCTCTCTCTCTCTCTCTCTCTCTCTCTTTCCCCCCCCCCCCCGAGACAGGCTGGCCTCAAAGTCCAGGTCCTCCTGCCTCTGCACCACCAACACACCAGGCACTCCGTGGACATATCCTTAAAGTTCCCTCCTTCCTAGGTCTCTCCACGTTTTCAGTGGCTCAGCCTGCTCATTTATATCCAGCCGGGCGCCACTACTACCCCTCCGCTTTCCCAGGCTACCCTAAACCTCGCTCAAAAACTCCATTCTAGCCATCTTCACCGAGTCTGACAAATTCTGCCTCAAAGCATCCTCGGTGGTTGCTTCAGTGAGAGCAGCTTCCCCCTCCCACCTCCAGCCTCTCATCTAAAACACACTGGTGTCTTGGACACTCTACCCTGTGATGTCAGTTCTCTCTTTGGCACACAAATAAGAGCCATGTAACTGCATTCATTGGCATTTTAACTCTCCAAAATGACAAGTTCCACATTGAGAATCTCCTTAAAAATATCAGACACCCTACCATTTCCTGTAATTTATGAGATGTTTTCTGTAAATTTGAGAATACCTTGATTTCTTCCCCTGATCCCAATTTGGTCCTTTTTTGTTCTTTTTCAATATACTGTAAACAATTAACTCATTCATTTTCTAAATGGCCATATCCCTCCCCCTAGTGGATAATGAGAGTATTAGGGGAAAAAGTTCCTTCCAATACTGTAGTGTTCCGAAATTGTCTTTAGTAAAAGTCAATGGAATGTTCTGTATCAAGACTATAGATATTCACAGCTGTGATTTTCATTTCTCTGATGGCTAAGGATGTTGAGCATTTCCTTAAGTGTCTTCCAGCCATTTTAGATTCCTCTGTTGAGAGTTCTATTTAGGTCTGTACTCCATTTTTTTTCATTGGATTATGTGTTCTTTTGGTGAGCAATTTCATGAGTTCTTTGTATATTTTGGAGATCAGACCTCTGTCCAATGTGGGATTGGTGAAGATCTTTTCCCATTCTATAGGCTGTCATTTTGTCTTGTTGACCATGTCCTTTGCTTTATAGAAGCTTTTCAGTTTCAAGAGGTCCCATTTATTATTTCTCTCAGTGTCTATGCTGCTGGGGTTATATTTAGGAAGTGTTCTCCAATGCCAATGCGTTCAAGTGTACTTCCCACTTTCTCTTCTATAAGGTTCAGTGTGGCTAGCTTTATGTTGAGGTCTTTGATCCATTTGGACTTGAGTTTTGTGCATGGTGATAGATATGGGTCTATTTTCATTCTTCTACATGTTGATATCCAGTTATACCAGCACCACCTGTTAAATATGCTTTCTTTTTTCCATTTGATATTTTTTGTTTCTTTATCAAAATAAAAGAAATAGTGAAAAACATAAGAAGAAGAAACCTTGAAAAGTAAATGAACCCATCATTCATGGTGCTATTTATCCAGGGCACATAAGCCTAGAGAGAGCGACAGCAAGTACTTTAGAACGAGAAGCGATCAAACACAGGTCAGCATTGTCCACCAGCCTCTAATTAGGCAGTTCTACAGACTTGCACACAAAACAGAACCTTTTCCCCGGAGACTTCAGAGAAGGAAACAAAACCTCACCCTGAGCTCTCAGGTCAAGATGCTGGCAAAAGGAAATCAAGCGCAGAATCTAAGCAGGGAAGAACAGTTTATTACGTCAGCCATCACAGGAATGTTGTCAGAGGGGAGAGAAGGGTGACAAAGCAAACAGGTGCCACAGGCAGCAGACATGGCCTGCCCTGGTGACGATGGGTGAGTCAGAAGGCCACCGTAGGCCTAAGATGGAGACTTGAGTGCAGTGTGAATTGGTGTCATACACCTGTGAAGGTTCCCTATGTTCGCATCCTTTGGTGGCACCTGCTAGTGTCTCCATAGCCCAGGAGCAAATGGAATGGCCTGTGGAATCTGTTCTCTTCTAGAGAGGCATCTGAGTGAGTTCAGGACTGGACAGGAGATTCATATCAGACCGGTTGTCAGCCAGGAGAGAGAGGAGCTAGCACCTCCGCTTCCCTTTCACTCTGGTGAGCTCCAGGCGCACCCTGTCCTGAAAATAGTCAGTGACAATTTCGTTCCTACAGGAAAGGGTCCTTCAGCTTGACTTCAGGTTTGGGGCTGCTCACAGGTCCCTGTGCCCTGAAGGGAAGGAAGATGGCTTGGTGGGAACCCCACTTCACTGCTGCATGCGCTGCAGAACCAGCACTTGACTGCAAAGCTGGTAGGGCTGCAAAAGGCTCAAGAGGAAAATCCGAGGACGCCTGTGGTCTGCTTTCCTGCTGTGTTCCAACTACCCCTTTTAGAAATGAAGGTAGACCTTTCTAACTAGCTGACTTCCTTCAGCCCCAATATCCTGCATTGTCTAGACTAGAGGCTGGGCCACAGCAGGTGATGTGAAGTCCCTGAGAATCTGCAGAGCCCCTGCTGTGTGACCTTTCCTAGGGAGAGTAGGAGGGCTCCTGTTCCCAGTGGATAGGGAAGACCAAGGCACAGATACTGCCAGAGGCCTGTGCCTTGATAAGGTCGGTTACTGGGGCAAGGACTCTACGTTTCTGAGGTCCATGCAGGAATTGGAGCCTCTAGACAGGTGCAGAGGGGCCCTGCCCCAAGAACTGTCTGCTGTTTGTCCTTGGGCAAAGGTCTGAACGTTTCAGCTCCCCTCCCTTGTAAAGCTTTTTTACCTCCAGACTTTCTTAGCTGCCCCTCCTCTCTCCAGGAGATATTTAAATTCGGAGGAAATTGCTGCACAACAGCCAAGCTAAAATAAACCAGTTAACACTCATTTGGTGGAGGTATGTTCTGGAAATGGTAACTGGGTTTTATCTCCCTCTTACTTGGACTATCTTATCTGACTGACTTGGTGCACAGGCATTTTGTTTTTGAGACACATATAAGAATATCTACTGTCTCCTTAGAATCATAGGGACACAGTCAATAAAAAGGGAATTTTGCAGAAAACATGGGAAATCACTCAGCTCCTTTAGAACCTAGAGCGATGTGGTACAGAGACCCCCAATTACTTAGAGATTTTCCAACTTTTATCAAGCCATGAGCATTGAAACTAACATTTATCCTGAAGGCCGTAAACACATTACAGCCAGTAGCTAGCTGTCAGTAAAACCTGTTCTCTACGTAGATACGGGGCTTTGCAGCTTAGGGCGCACCTGGCAACATAAATCATAACAGATACTTGCCCTTACAGCTCCAAAGGTGGGAAGTCTGAGGTCAAGGTGCTGGCGCCCGAGAGGAACCTTCCTGTTTCGTGGACGACTGGCAAACAATGAGGGTGTCACTTTACCACAAGCCCCCTCCTGATGAAGAACCCAGTCCTGTTGATGATGACATCAGCTCATGCAGGAAGACAGTCACCTGAGCATCTTTAACAAGAGTTGTCAAAGCCAGCAGGGTGCCTGGGCGTGGGTGTCTAGTGGAAGACAAGTTCCTGTGAGAGGGGGCAAACCCGGAAGCCCATAGTGATGCCTCACAGGCAGGTGGGAGCAAGGAAAACAGCCAAAGAGACCTGGTGTCTCCAAGGCTCAGCACTCAGAAAAGAGGAGAGTCCAGGGACATCGTAAAATGTACCAAGAAGAGGCAGGAAAACCTCATGAGATTCAAAAGACAGAGTTTCCAGACCAGCACAAGGAAGACGAGTGGCCTGAACTGACCCTAATATTCAGCTCTCATGCAGTTCATGGAGGTCACTGGTCCCTGAAATGAGAAACCAAGTGTCTGAGCAAGTAAGTGCATCAACAAAGCAAGCTCACATGGCCAATTAGCAGTAGAACTCCATCCAGAACCAGCCCCAGACAGGGACGTCTAGTTGGTACCCTGTGAGGTCATCCTTCCCATGGTAACTGATTCACTGGGGGACTCTGAAAGAACACCAGCTTTAAACACAAAGGAATGTACGTCAACAGGAGCATCTCAAACACACTGGCAGGAGGATGGTCTAGGTTTCAAAGCAGAGCCAAGGGCCCTTCAAATCAAAGGGCACAGCCACTGCACCCAAGACAGCCTGGGAGCCCAGACACAGCTTGGCACACACAAGTATCCACCGCACTCTGTGGTTCTGTTTACTAGAGGATTTCCGCACAAATAAAGACCACCAACGGCCTGACTGCCAAATCGATGCGAATATGTGCGGCCAGGCCTTGAAGATGGAGATCTGATGGACAAACCTTTTTCTTTCACTTGACTTCTTTACCAAGTTGCCACAAAGAGGAAGCAATGAGGATAGACTTCTTAAAAATTTGTGAATTGTTTATCCAATTTATTACTGGGGATGTGTGTATGAGAGAGAGAGAGAGAGAGAGAGAGAGAGAGAGAGAGAGAGAGAGAG